TAAGGTCAGTGTGTCCTGTCAGTGTTCTTGGAGATGAGGTGGGTACAAGGCAAGATGGGGGTTCTTTCACAGGCCCCCTGAGCGTGAATAATCTGCATCTTCCCTTGAAAACAGAGCCACTCCCAATGTATTGACCAAAAAGTTTGCTAAGAACCAGTCTCAAAGGCGGATAAATGCGCCAAGGACTCAAGTGGGACCCTGTGAGGCCATCATCAACACAGAGCCGGAAATGCCAAGACTAACATTTGACAACCAATACTGTCAGCCTCTCATGTTCTGGTATATGTTAAAATGCCCTTTAAGAAACCAAGATGCTGGGGTGCCCTCACCCAGCCTCTTTTAGACTCTACCTTGGAAACGTCCACTGGCTTAGACAGGAAGTTTGAGGACATGTCGCAAACCAGCACGGCTCCCCTGACATCCGGGATAAAGTCAAACTCCACACCGTGCACGGTCTCGTTGGCACAGTAATACACATAGGAGGCGTCCGGGCTGAGGGTCCAGGTGCTTGGGTCCGGAATTTCTATCACAGAAAACAAGTTGGAGATGCGACACTTTCATTCCTCTCTTCCCTTATGTAGACGGAAGTCAACCAAGAATAACACCCCTTCCCTGGCAGTGAAAGACTGATTCCAAAGCATTCTCTAGTGAAAGCACTCTGTTCATCTTGCCTTATAATCACCACCATCATCCTAAAAGGATGATCAACCAACCCCACCCTGCTGACTGTTAAATCTCCAAGAATGGCAGGGTGGATATTTGGGGATTTTTTTCTTGGCATCCTGTGTCCGTTGACGGGCCAATGGTTTCCTCTTAGGGCTTCAACCTCCCCCATTCTCAGCCCATGTGGTTCCAATGGAGCCAATGCCACCCTCAGCCCCAAAGGTAGAATGCAACTGAGGCACGGTGTCACATGACTGATTTGGAATGTGGTACACGAGACATGGGACTGTTATTGGAATGTTTGAGCAAAGGCATGAAACTTGGGAGAATATAAGGTCAGGAGAGGCTACAGAGAACAGAAATAAGAGAACAGCTTTTTTGACTGTTCCTCCACAGGGACAGTGAGTCAACAAGACCTGGAGATAGTGTTGGGAGCCTTGATCAAGCCATACCTAAAGCCAAACCAGCCCCAGGCTTTGCAGCTAAGTGAGTTTATTGAATACTCGTTCTGTGTCAGCCAGTTACAATAGTAGTCTTAAATAATACAGCCATCCAATCTAAATGGTNTGAAGCAACGTCCTCCACAACTAGACTGAAGAACAAAACGACAGCAACTTGTCTGCTCCCCTTCCCCCAATTAAAAAAAAAAAAAAAGGAAGTTACTGTTGTACGCCTTTCTCTCTGCGTCTCCACGTCTCCACGTCAGACACTTGCATCGCCCATTAGACAGACTGGCCTACTTTGTCACTGCTCCTGCAGTTTTTTACCCTAATATTAACAAACAGCATATTAATGCATTCATTATATTTTTGAAAATGTGTTTCACCGTAACTCTCAGAGAAGATGACAGAAGTGTGGTAGCTCCGCCTGCTCCTCCGGACTGTGCTCTAATCCAACATGCCAGCCTCTAGGACACATTTCAGGAATGGTGCCCTCCCTGCCTCCTTCCACCTTCCCAATGCCAGTGGTAGCCCCTGCCTTGCCCTGAGGTTCACCTTACTGAGAGCCAGGCCCTGGCCCCACCTTCTATCAGGTAAGACAGCCACCTCCTGCCACCATGCGGTCTGGCACCTAAGCCCCTTCTCCTGGAGTCCTGCATTTGAGGGTCCCCAATTGCGCCTTCACCACTCAGCACTCCCAGTTCTCAATTCCCAGTTGGCCAGTGAGCACTATTCTTCCATTGCCTAGAACCCCAAAGGTGAACAATAGATTCGGCACCCACCCCCCACTGCCCCATCCTTAATAGGCATTTTGGAAACACTTTCAACCAGGGTAAACAGAGTGGGGTTTACAGGTCACCAGAAGAATTAGCACCAGAACACCCCACTCCCCGAGGAAAGAAAGCGGGGGACACAAAATGAGCTGCCTCTGCCTCATGTGAGTCACGTGGAAAACCAGCAGAGATTCCATCGGAATTCTAACTTTGAAAAAAACTTCTTTCTTTCCTTTGGTAAATCATATGGAAGAAATTTTCTATAGGCAACCCCTAGTGGGAGACGGCTAACGAAGTCCTGACCCAGATGGAACAGCTGCCTGCACTGGCCCCACCCCCTCCTATAAGAGAGCTTCCACCCATCACAGAAAAATCCAGGAGTGGAAAAGCTGGACTCCAACAGCCACCTAGTCTCCTAAGATGGGATCCTTCAAACACAGACAAATCCACACTGATAGTTTTGGTTGTGAAGAGCACTGTGGTACA